GTAATTACCAGAGGACCTAATGCTGATCCCTGAGGAACTCCAGACTTTATAAACTGTTCTCTCGCTCCCTCTGCTTCAGGCGGTGCTGGAGGTGAATGATCGGACAGGAAATGTGTGGGTGGTGTTGTGGAACAGTGTATGTGTCAGCTGGTACCGCTGCCTCAAGCCCGGTGACATCATCAGCCTGAGACGCTATCGAGTCAAACAGCATTACCAGGCTGAGCTCAACGACATAGGTACACAGGACCAAAGCAATGAGACTTTTTTAGTCATTTTTTCCTTTTTCAAACTCCGGTACTTTGGGGTAAAAGGTGTTTTATGATGTGCAGATTTTAAAGCTTAACATGTTATTATATTAACTTCACCCTAAAACTCAGTTTGAACTGGTGATTCTTTGCTTTTGTGCCCAGTGGGCCTCTCATTGAGTCTCCCCACTTGTGTTATTCACACACGTCTATATTTAATCTTTCATTTTAGCCTTTTCAACTTCTCAGTTACTTTTAAATCTCACCACAGGTTAGAAGTCAGATTTATTCTAACTGAACATTGTGTACGTGGGCACCTGTGACTCACAGTTATCGCTCTGATTCTGTTTTTCTGTGCAGAGATCAGTGTGAACAGCAGAAATCCTGCTGCACGGATTTCTGTCCTCCAAGAATCCACTGTTTCACCTGACTATCTGCCGCCTGCACCCACCTACAGCTTCTACAACAGGTACATGATCCTGTTTGCACATGAGGACTCTACTCAAACCCTTAGAGCAGTGTTTCCCAAACTCTTTGAGCCACGGCACATATTTCACATCAGAAAAATCACAAAGCACACCACCAAACAAAAATGTCACAAAAACCATTTTTATTGAAATATAATGATAATCTGCTCTCAATTTACTTACTTAGTGTGAAACCAGGCCTGCTTAGTTGAACACAAAGCTGATATTCTTGCAGGAACTGAAGAAAGACACACAGGAAGTTCTTCCTCAACAGCTCTGAGTCTCTTTTTTTCCTCTTTATTGCAGTCGTACTATAATACTACTCTGTACATTAGTATTTCTTCTTGTCTTCTTCTGTTTTACTGGCGGTTGGCAGTCCATTTAACCCACTTAGTTGAAGAGAATCTAATTGTTCTTCCTGTTCCTGTTCGTCCTGTCACTACACGCCACTCGCTTGGAGTACCAATCTGGTGAAAGTGGATAAACTTCCACGGCACACCTGATAATTTCTTATGTTACGCTTATGTGCTGTGGCACAGTTGTTGGAAACGCTCCCTTGGAGGCTGCTGTTTGTTTATCTGTTTGTGAGCAAGATTATGAAGACACTGTAAAACACTATATATTAGTGAAGCAATTTAGGTTTTAATGTGGGTTTGATCAAAAAACGGGGACTTGGCCTTGGTAGATGTTTTGTGTCCTCTTCTAGTCTAAATAAAGCATTCCTGGCTCCTGTCGGTAACCTTGGTCCTTGCAGCTGAATGTTTCACTGACCCTGAAACTAAACTCTGCCCTTCAAACAGGCAAACATGATACATGAGAAATGTCCCCATAATTCAAAGATGTCCTCATTTTGATCGTTTAAAGCTGATGTCCTCTCATGGTTTGAAAGACAAGTGCACACACTGACTCTTTTTGTCAGTAAGGAGCTGCTGGACTGCCCTAACGGTGCTGAATGTGATGTTATTGGCCTGCTGATGTTCTCAGGACGGCCGGAGCGAATCAGGAGCAAGGGTGAGGGAGTTACCATGGCGATAAAAACACACCATGACAACAAAATTTGCTGGTTTTCTTTCAGTTTTCTTTCAGCCACAAAGAAATTGTCTTTTTATTCCTAATTATTATTTTTTATTTTAATTTGAAGATGGCAGAGGGGTGGAGCTTCTGGAGTATCGCTGGCTACGATTGGAGGACGGGACGAGTGAGCAGCCAGTCATGGTGAAACTTTTCTCCACGTCTCAGCCAGAAACCCACCTGAGGCTGTACCCACGTGAGATACCGTAGCTTTGACCCGTGAACATGTGAATGTGTGTCTACAGCACATTTCATCTTTGTTTACCCGTCCTCCGTCTGCAGTGTCCGTGGTTGTTTGTACACGACTGAAGGTGGTCAGGTCCTCGGATCAAGGTCACAACTGCTTCTACCTGACCAACACCACCTACACACAGGTGTACTGCACAGGTAACACGCTGTGTACGAAGCTAGATTCACATTTTCAGTTGCAGCGTTTCTCCCACTGACTCCCCCTGGCGGTCAATGTTGTGTGTCAACTCTGTCCTCGCTCCTGATTGGTCGACTGCCAGGCCTGGGGCACCACTCAGAGATGAGTTACCGCAGGCTCCGCCCAGTTCGGCAGTTCCTCCAGTGGCTGAGGAGCCAGGACGATGAAGAGGTGCTGAACAGGGCTCTGATTGGAGGCTTCTTCATCTACCCGCCCCCTCCGGTCTCCTTGGAAACATACATGAAGGACAAGAGAGGTCAGCGTGCTGTGTTTCTAGCTCCTGACCACAGAGCAGTTTCATTTTTCTGACGGTCGGAGCTTCAATCATCTCAGTGATGATCTTTCGTCTCACCTGTGCTGAATCTAAAACACAGGCGAGCTGGGATTCCTGCAAGGGGCGGAGCTTAAGAGGGAGGTGGAGCGGCTCTGTTACAGGGAGAGACACACGTTCTGTATCCAGGCTACCATCACCATGGTTACTTATAGCCGCAGAGGAGAGGTAACAGCTAGTGCACAATTATCTGTTATGTAAATGTAAACTTCTTTACTTTGTGATCTGATCTGTAAACAGTTCATTATTTTACATTTCTCATCTGTTCTAACAAAAATACATGCAGAGGTCATGTGACTCATTCAGCATAACAGAGACTG